GTTTTGGAAGGAATGGATACATACAGATCGACGATCTCTCCCTTCTCGTTCTCCATTTTGACGGTTGTTTGGGGGGGTGGTTGAGGTTGACGACGGTGAGAGGTTTTGCGCTGGCGGGTTAAACTGGCGGCGGACGGTGCGTGTGAAATTCCACTTGAATCTTTCTGGCGAACGCGGGTTGTGGGTCATGTGATTGTTTGTCGAGGGCTGATGACTAAGGTTTGGCTGGGTGGGTTTGCTTGACTGGATTGGGTGGGCGGTGAGTAGTACCAACTTTGTAGGGAGGGACTGGTGAGGCGGTGTAGGTACTCTTAGTAACTTGGGATGTGGCTGGTGAGGTAGTGGGCGTATCTCCGTATTTTGTATAGACGAGAGAGGGAGTATGATGGATGGTTTAGTCGGACGATGAGACTTAGTTGGGCTGTTCCCTGTCTCCTTCTTTTACATGGTCAGTACCTTCAGATATCAGTAAATTCCATCAGAGAGTTGATGACATCCGATGGACTTCATTTACCGTGATAACTTGATTGGTATAAACTGGCATCTAGATGCTGTATATTCACTATTCTGTAAGCCAACTACTGACAAATACACCCAGACACTGCTATAGACGGCTCTCCTTAAACACATCCTTCTTCCACCGCACCACAAGCTCCCGAGGAACACCCTTGATGAACTTTAGCTGTACAACCCGCTCCGTATCTCCCTTCCGGTCAGTACCCTCCAATTCCGGACCAGGATGATCCAACTTCATCACCGTCTGGCCATCAGACGCAATCTGCAGCGCCTTCGGACAGATACACTTGTCCGTCCACGGCGGCTGGCCCGAATGAATGAACTGCAACAATTCCTCTCGCTGCCTCTTCAACTCCTCAACAGACTCCACCCCCGATGATCCCTGTGCCAGGAAATCCGCCATCAAATGAAGCAGCAAGAACTGAGGCGGGAACAAAATGGCCTCACCCTTCTGCGCCATGCGAATCCATTCCGAGGCAGGCAAGAACCTCGCCTCAGAGATCTCCACTCCGCCATCGCTCGTCGGAATCTGAATCTCCTCTTTCTCACCCTCATGTGGGATCTCATCCAGAATGGGCTTCCCAACCTCCATCGGCAATGGTAAGAAGTACAGGTACATCTGGGTCGTATACCGTCTCGGATATCTGATGGGCGTGAGCCAGCGTGTGAATGCTATCAGACCTTCCGTATCCGGTACTGCGGCGGGATGCTGTTCCTTTAACCATTCTGCGAATGTCATCTTATGTTGATGGATCGCGCGTCGACCAGCTTCACGCTGCTCCTGTGGTACAGCGAGCATCTTGCCCGAGTCAGCGTCCTTGGCCAGGAGAATGCCACTTTCTTCGAACAATTCGCGAATGGCGGCGTTTCGATACCAGGGTCCGTCATCGTGGCGGGAGATGTCATCTACCGGTGGACATGGCCCGTCCTGGCTGGAGAGGTTTCCTCCTGGGAAGACATGTGCCGATGGGTAAGACGTTGATGTCTTGACGCGGTGAAGGAGAAGGACCTCATTCCGCGGAGAGATGATGATTACGCTGGGAATAAGGTCAGCACTGAGCTCTACTGATCCCAACGCGACACAAGTTGTAGGAGTAAGGGGTTCAATATAGTAGGAATATAATGGACAATGAGACTGCCGGGCGAAGCTTGGCATATGACGAACCTGGAACTGGGCCGAGGCTCGGCAGGCGTAGACTTGGCCTTAAGAAGTTTTTCGAGACGCCATATTCAGGTCTGTAGATGTCTGCTGGGGCTTGGAAGCCGAAGAGCTGCATCGCTGTATAGGATGATTGAAGGGTTTGAATCGAATCCGGGGTTGCGTAGGTCTATATGATGGGCCTGAAACTAAAAGCCGGCTACCTCGGGCAACTTGCAGCCGGGGTAAGAATTCGCAGGCTATCATCGTAGTTCATCCAAAGAAGCGCAGACATTAGTGTCAGCAGATCCTTGTGGTGATGAGATAGGTGAGGGATTGCAACGACAGAGAAAGATTATTGGAGCCCAGAGTAAACAGAATCCACAAGGGGCATAGCAGAAGCCGAGCTGCAGCGGTGCTGCGGCAAGGCTTACTGCGACCCCGCGTTTTCGGCAACCGACCGCCTATCATTACTGACAATATCTACCACCGACGGATCTACAACACTGGACAGAAGTTTACTGACAGATATAATGGTATTGATACTGCCGTAGGAAGTCTAGGATCATGTATAGAATCATCGAAAAAGGCGTAATGCATTGAATAACCCTAACCAAGTCGGTGCGTCACCGCAAGTCGAACTCCTGTTCCCCATGCCCGAGCTTTTGTTTTCGTAACAGCCACATATCATCATGTAACAAAACGTATCAACAGAAAGGCTCTTGATATAAAAAAAAAACTATAAGGAAATAAACAAGAAACTTTGGCTCTTAAGCTTTTACCACTTAAGAGTAGAGCTTCTTGTCGTAGCTGTGGAGACCGTGGACGTTACCCTCGGCCATGGCGCTGGCACTTCTCATCTCGAAGCGGACAGTTCCGTTGTCCACACCCTCGTGCAGAGCCTTAAGGCTCTTGACACCAATGTCCTGCAGGGAGTGCTGGACACCAGCAACGAGGTAGGGGACGAACTTGGTGACAGAACCACGGTCGAGAACGGAGCCAGCAACACCCTGAGCAACCAGGACGCCGTCCTTCTCAGAGAAGTAACGAGCAGTACCAGCGTTGCTGGCCTTGCTGTCCTTGGAACCAGCGCCAGCCTTCTTGTCCTCCATGGCGGCGATACTGCCCATACCACGGTAGGCCTTGACGAGCTGACCCTCCTTGCTCATGAAGTACTCGCCAGGAGACTCGGTGGTACCGGCAAGGAGACCTCCCATCATGACAGTGGAGGCACCCATAGCCAGACCCTTGACGATGTGACCAACGTTCTGGACACCACCGTCAGCGATGCAAGGAACACCGAAGCGAGCAGCGAAAGCGGTGACGCTGCGGACAGCAATAGCCTGGGGACGGCCAACAGCCATAACCTCCTGGGTGATGCAAGCACTGCCGCTGCCCATGCCAATTCTCAGGCCATCGACACCAGCAGCAATCAAAGCTGCGGCTTGCTCACGAGTGACAACGTTACCACCGATAACGTCGATCTCGGGGAAGTTCTGCTTGATCCACTTGATCATCTCAATTTGGTACATGCTGTTACCCTGGCTGCTGTCCAGGATAACAATGTCGAGACCAGCGTCAACAAGGAGCTTGAGTCTGGTCTTGTCCTGCTCACGGGTACCAATGGCAGCAGCGGCGATGAGCTGCTTGGACTGGGGGAGCTTGGAGGCGAGGGGGTAGTGCAGGTTCTTCATCAAGTCGCTGCGGGACAGCAGGGAGACAAGGTTGCCGTTCTCATCAACGATGGGGAGCTTGCCCTTCTTCGAGGAACGGAGGACCTCGTTAGCCTCGGCCAGGGTGGTGCCAGCGGGGGCAGTGACGAGGTCAGTGGACATGATGGCGGTGACGGAGTCATCAAGGTCGTGGTGGAACTGGATGTCACGGGAAGTGACAATACCAACAAGCTTGGAGCGGAGGGTTCCGTTCTCTGTTCATTCAAATACAGTTAGAATCAAGTCTGACTCGAACCAGGAAGAGTGAACATGTCATGATAGTAACACAAGGGTCAGATAAAATCTGTTTCTCTACAGTGCTGCTCTCGCTGCTCCAGTGGAACGAAAGTTATAATAGAAAAGAGGATGATCATCACTGTGAATGGGAAGAACTGAAAAGAAGAAAAGTCAAGTCAAAAACTTACCAGTAACAGGGAAACCACCGAAGCCCCACTTGGCCTTAAGTTCCTTGGCCTCGCGGACAGTGGCCTTGGGAGAAAGGACAACGGGATCAGAGATGAAACCGTTCTCGTATCTCTTGACCTTGCGGACCATCTCGGCCTGCTCCTCAGGAGCGCAGTTGTGGTGGATAACACCCAGACCACCCAGCAGAGCCATGTGGATGGCCATGTTGTGCTCGGTAACGGTATCCATGGGAGAGGACAGAAGGGGAACCTTCAGAGAGACACGCTTGGTGACGGGAGTGTCCAGAGTGACATCGGAGGCAGGGAAGCCTGTGATGGGGCGTATAAGCAACCGAGCACGAACAAGAATCACCAGCAACTCAAGGTGTTCGTCTTACCGATGTATCCGGGCAAGATAAGGAAGTCGTTGTAGGTCAACGCTCCGTGCTTGTCCGAGTCAAGCAGGGTGTCAACGTCCAGACCATCCTGGGTAGTGTAGGTTTTCAGGACCTCCAGGGCCTTGGTGTGGTCCTGGATCTCGGCCTGCATGGCGCGGCCAAGAGAGTCACCGTTGGAGATAGGCATGGTGAAGACTCTACCGGTTCTATCGTAACTCGTCAAAAAGAATGATAAGAGTCAAGAACAAAAAATAATCAACAGATCGACGATAGAAACGTTCTGTTGATGGAGAAAGTCTTCCTTTCCCAAAGAAAAGAAAGAAAGAAAAAGGAAGAAAAATCGGAGGAGAAAAAAATTGGCTTTTGACTTCTGCCGCACACGCTAGCGATCCCTGCAGAATTCATGCCGCAACGGGTATGGTTCGCCTTGCCGCTGCCTGTTTGGCCTTGTGATTGGCTGCTAAACGAAATCAGGCCAGGCGGTGAGCGAGGAGGGGGTGACATTGAAGGAACCAAATTATTCTTTCCTGACTGATGGTTAATAATAGTACGTAGTCCCTCTGAAAATTTTTGCAGTCCCGCTTATCAATTCCTAAGGAACAGTCGCGGGGTTCGGGGTTAAACTTCCCATGGAGTAATGCCCAATCGCTGCTTGCGGCAATTGCAATGACATAGTAGTAGTACTTAGTACTGCTACTGACTGGTCATGAGAGGGGTTGCCTTTCACAGTCTTTTCCACATGAAGTTTTTCTTCTCTATAAACTCCGTATTTTCCTGTACCTTTGACTTCGCGCATACGCCAAGATGGGGTTAGTGGCTACTAGCCTCTCTGATAAGATAACTAAGATGCCTTGTCTTGGATGCATGCAACGATACAACGAGCTTGCTGGAGTATCGTGAAATCTAATTGGATCGTTGCATTGATGACCCCTTCTGATTCAGATACACTGCGATTCTCAGCATATAGTACCCATCATTGGTCTGCTTAAGTTGGTCCAAGTGGTACTGCATACACCGTATACTACCTAGACTAACTAAATCCTCTCCCCGCACTGTAGTCCAAGCATCCAAGATCTTTATATAATCCACAAGCCAGACGCACTGGCCAAGACACGTTGGTGTGTGGTAAGTGTACTTAGACAATGAGTTGGTATGCTGGGACCACCGACTCATCTGATCTATGATTCGTATCTTGTTTCTTGCTCCTTGTGAGAATCGTCCGCGGGCCGATGGAGCTTTAGAGACGGAAGACATATACTGTAAGCCAGACGATATCCAGTTCAAGAAGAAAGGACTAATTACAAATGTGTATAACAAGGCTTTCCAAACAAGAGTGCTGCTTTCTGTTGCAGACGGTGTTACAGTCATGGCATTTCCCCACTTGGTGTTGAGGCTTGTTGATGGGCGCAGTATGGCTGATTCGTATAACTTGAAGGGAAGGGTTACATTTACGGCTTCCCATGCGGCTGATCAATTTTCGCTGAAATGTCTAATAATCACTCCCTTGGAATCGGTCATTTCTATTGACTAGGCTTCCTTATACTGTAATGTGAATGCATAGGCTTACATTCTACTCGGCGCTATCTAGTCAAGCATGGTGTCTGAACTGTAGCACTGACCCGGCCGGGCGGCGAGTATAAGCATGGAATAGAACTTGAAGATAGTGATAAGTAATACTGCAATACGCTAAATGAATTCAAAATCTTAGTTTAATCGACTTAGCATTTTCCCTAGTGCGCTATGATCAGGTCGAGAGGTGAATTGCGGAGATGTGGTTCGCGGACCTGGTTACGTAGTACGACTATGACGCCAGGGTGACAGAAGGCAAAAAAAGCTGTCCGACTTATATATATAGCGCCAAAGCCATAAATTTCTCACTATTCAAGCAATATCTTCTCATAGCTTTCATATCGCACGGTTAATAGTCAGAATGGCATCCGCAATTGGCAAAGAAGGCGTCTTCCAGCCGCCACAGGCAGCTCAATCCCAGAATAAGCCAGGGTAATTTCCCTTTCATAGCCTCTCTCTTCGTTACTTCGATTAGCTTCCTCTCTAGAAATTCTTCAAGGAGGTCAGCAGAGCTAAGATACAATCTCAGGTTAGAGAAGAAAATGGCACCAGCAAGTGAAGCAACCAAATTAGAGTCGAGCGGTACTTTCGTCGAGTATGTCGGTTCTGGAAAACTGAAGGACAAGAAGGCTCTCATCACCGGCGGCGAGTATGTCTCCTATCCTGTCATGGGATGTCAAACAATTTACAAGCTCGTAGTTCCGGAATCGGCCGATCGGTCGCGGTCTTGATGGCTCGCGAAGGGGCCGACGTCACCATTGTCTACCTACCGGAAGAAGAAGAGGATGCTCAGGATACCAAGAAGATGGTTGAGGCCGAGGGCAAATCATGCCACCTCTTCAGCGGAGACTTGAGAAGTCGCGAAACGTGTCGCAAAGCTGTTGAAGAGCATATAAACACGTGCGTGCTCTTGTTATCACCAGTCTATCTACGAAGCTTCATCTCATACTAAGCTCAGGTATAAAAAACTAAATATTCTCGTCAACAACGCCTCCAAGCAGTACATGTGCAAGGATTTCGCGCAAATCGATCTCGACAACGTTACCAGCACCTTCGAGAGCAATATCATTCAAATGTTCGCTATCACAAAATTTGCCCTTCCTCATCTGTCCAAGGGCGACTCGTCAGTTTCTCCATCTTCTAATGGAACAAGCTGCTTATGGCTAACTTTGTTTTCAGCATAATCAATACCACATCTACCGTGGCATTCCGAGGAACAAGCGGTATGGTTGACTATAGTGCGACTAAAGGTGCTATTGTTAGCTTTACAAGATCACTGGCAGCACAGCTGAAACCCAAGGGTATCCGCGTTAATGCAGTGGCGTAAGTTTGAGGGTCCATATTGAGTGTCAAGACATATGCTCACTGCTATCTCGGCAGTCCCGGTCCAGTTTATACTCCTATTCAGGTCGATACTCGGGAGCCTGAACAGATGGAGAACTGGGGCGCTGGATCTTCCATCGGCCGACCTGGCCAACCAAGCGAGGTCGCGACAAGCTTCATTTTCCTGGCCAGCGCAGATGCTGCACTCTTCTGTGAGTAATTCTTCGCCCCCTGATGACAAACACTACCAGTCTATCCTTACACTTACTGACTGGGAGATAGACGGCCAAGTCTTGCACTGCTATCCTCTAGGGGATTGAGATAAATCGTGAAGGTCGACAACAGACGTCTATGAAGCCACACAAGGCAAAAGTGCAGTGTCAAGCACCATAAGCCAACGTAACTTTGGCATTTTCTTCATTTCAAACTGTTAGCTCAGGACGTCCCTGTACCTCTTAGCCACTTGATGTGAAAATATGTACATGTATGATAGTTCAGGTGATTCGAGTAGTTTGTAATGCGATCAATACAGCAGCCATGGTTTTGCCTGCAGGAGGGCTTTATCCCAGCCCTCATCATTCTTCCAGATAGCAACAGTCTCTATCTCATCCTTACCCAGCTTGAGATCATTGTACAGATGCTATTCAGAAAATCTGATTAGTTCCATTCTTCATCTCTGTATCCATGCGGGGAGGGCTGCTGCTGAGGAAACATACTGGGAACAGGCCCTCTTTCGGTCGCGGCCCGCAGACCGTCCCCTCAGGATTTTCCCACCGGACCTGGCCGGCTATGCCCTCAAAGGGAATCCTGAGCACGTAGACCAGCGGCTCATCTTTGAAAAACATTTTGAGAGTATTTGGTACTTGAAATGCTGTGGAGAGGTGTACGAATCCCGATTTCTCATCCAGCTCGCTAACCGGCAACCGATCGGGGAGAGGTTCCCGGACCGGAGATGTCGACGGGATCAACTTGTAGACGTAGAGGGGCTCGGCGTCCGCCATTTTGATTTTCTTAGTTTGATGATGCCGTTTCCAGTTTTCACTTGTGGGAGGGGTGATAAGGGATTTAATAGTCGTTGATTGTGTTGTAGATTCGGATTCTAGTCATATAGGTAGGCGATAATCGACGCTAGTGAGTGGGTGGTGGGACTGGTCATCCTTGACCCCTCCATGAGACAGTTAGAAATGCTTGTCGATCGCGTCGGACTCTTTGTCCTTCAAGGACTCCCGTGACCGGGGGGGTCGTATCCGACCTCCAATCACACGGAATGTGTCTACTTTCCAACTTTGTATTTGATCTTAATGATTAGTGGATTAATACGCAGATATTCAGTCATCTGCTGCAAATTTATTAAGCGAGTAAAATTATTCTGGATCCTAGCGTTTTGACCAAGTCCCCGCATGCGATTCTGATAAGATAGTAAGTCGTAGTACGACGGACTATATGTTTGTCAATATATACTAACGGTAGTACCAGCTGGATTGAGCGGTTCAGCCACGTCCGATTACTAGTAAAAATAACTTGAATATCGACATGGATAAATAAACTTGTATAGAATGGACTGATGAAGAGTTAGATCAGATCTTGGATAGACATAATCGTCACAAGGTTGAACAGTCTTCAGGTGTACATGCAGCCCCCAGAGTACTATTTCCGTGGACTCACGGCATCTACTATTGTACACTAAGCGGCAAGCAGCAGCGGGCTATTGATATATTCTCTGCACATGTTACTGAAATGAGGAACTTGTCTGTCTCATATCTATTGATCGATCGGACAGATGGCTAATACTACGAGTGGCTTAGCCACAGAGAGAGATCTCTCTCTCTGTGGCTGAGATAGGGATCGACGTCACTGGACCGGGCATCGGAGAGTAACAGTCACATGCCCGTGCACGCCATACCAAATCGGGAGATTTGTTTTTG